CTTGTTGTGTTTTTATAATTACAGTTTTTATCAATGGGGTTAATTGTAAAATTTAAACTACGAAAAATTGATCCTCTGTTGTTGGTAGTATACTTACCATTCGTTTATATTATAATCGATCTTTATTGTGTTTTTATAATTGTGATTAATCTTTATTGTGTTTTTATAATTACGGTGAGATTATTTTCGTTAACTATGTAATTTAAGAAAGATTGGTAAGTACACTTATCACTCATCACACGTAATTTATATTATAACTAATCCTTATTGTGTTTTTATAATTATGGTGAGATTATTTTCGTTAACCATGAAACTTAATCCAAGAAAAATTAAGAAAGAAACTTCGTAGGTTGTTGATAAGTACACTTATCACTCGTCACACGTAATTTATATTATAACTAATCCTTATTTTGTTTTTATAATTACGGTGAGATTATTTTTCGCCAACTGTAAAACTTAACGAAAGATTTGCAGATTGTTTGTAAATATACTTACCACTTGTCACACATATCGATCGTTTCTTCTTTTTTTCAATTTTTACGTACATACAATAATTGTTATTTCAATGAACAGGTAAGTACTCAAAAAAACGTGAACAAACAATTGAAAAGTTAGAATTCTCAAAGCAAGTGCAGGAACTTTCCACATTTCGATGCTCTCTTACCAGCCAAGCTTTGCAAAGGATTAACCAACAACGTCGTGTCAGTCTCTTCTGGCAAGCTGCCCGACAACATCTACGTGTATAGTAATATATAAAAGTAATATACCAGGTAAGTGATCAAGAAGTTACAGTAGTCCCCCAGCAGTTTGACTTCCTTCGCCTGATAGAGCACCTCGATGACGTTGCTCGGGCTGACGTCGATAATCACGTTGCAGATGGACAGTGCGCGAAGCTCCTTCAACACTGGTCGATAATCCATCCCATCGCTCAGCCTTCTTATCGTCACCAGGCTGTCTCTCTTCCGTTGGAGGGACAGCGCCTTCTGGATCCGCGACAGACTGTCGTTGTTCTCGTATACAGCCGCGAAAGTGTTCCATTTCATCGACTCGACCACGTCGGCGATCGCCTGCGGGCAGATTCCCCGTGGCCTTTGTTATCGCGATAGGACGATACTCGACAGTCTTGTGGGTCGGATAACCTCCCGCTTGAGTCGCCTAACTCCCCCCCTCCCCCTTACCCAATAGTTAATTTCGCACATATGCCGCCGTTAAACTGTTAACGATTATGGCACACGCTCTGGCGCACGCGCTCAGCTCCGATAACAGCGCGCGCAAACGGCGGCGGTGCAACTGCAATCATAGAAATTTAACGAGCTACAAGCAATGACGTATTAATTGCAGCAATGGAAATGGAAGCGGCGTAAGTGCAACTGCACGGGTATTACAGGCGATTCAAAAGCCGGTTGCCGAAAATGCAAACAGCCTAACGCGATAATACGAATTTAACGAGGCAAATGTTCGATAACTCGCGGGGCAACGATCCATTTAGCTACATGTATGACGATTTAGCGAGACGAGAGTAACGAAAGCGAGGAAGAAAAAAAGGACGCGCACTCTTTCCTCCGCAGCGGGAAATGTAGAACAGCACACGCACGTTGCCGATTCTATACGCGGACCAGAGGGAAAAGTACGAACGCATGTACTTTGAATGCTCAAGTAATTAACATTTAGCATTTAACATTTTATCCTAATTACCAGTAGAGTCACTTAATTGCTTACAAATGTCACAAAGTAGAAAAAAAAAAAAAACTGCACGAATGGGAGATAAATAAAAAATTCCACAGTCCTGTTTCATCGTGTGGCTGTCCTGAATACTGGCACGAAAACTAGCAAAGCGGCTCGCAAAGCTGCACTTCGACCCGGCGTTTCCCACGTTGCCACCCGGTATAATTTCGCCCCCTTACTTCGTAGCAGGCGAATTTCCAATTTATTATTAATGTTGTTATTTAAACGCCAGTTTCTATCAAATTGTTGTAATTTTGAATAATTAATTCCGACCCGTTTCGGGCATTCAATGGCGGGAAATGGAAATTCATATTATTATTACAATAATCAAACATCGTCATTACGTATACACGTATCGCGTGTACGTTAATTTATTTATATCTTTGGCAACGATGCCATCTCGTTAATGGCTAAATATATTTTTCAGCCACCGCGTAACGCGGAAATTTGGAAGCTCGACGGGAAAATGGATTTATGGCCTTTAAATGGAAACACGTAGCGAGAAATGGCCGCGTGAATGTCCGAGCTCGCGTTCGCGAACGTAGAAAATCGCCGGGGAATTCATTACGTTTGGAACGGTGTCAATCGAGGAAACGTCGAACGTCGCCGTGTTCGCGATAAATTAACGAAACAACCGTCGATCGTTGTTTTCTAGCCGCGCGAGTGAATATCCGACGGAGAAGTGAAAGCTCGAACGTTCCTTCCTGCTGTTGTAAAAATGCTACAAAAAGGGGTGTCACGGCAATAAAACGAAAAAGGGAGAAAACGTACACGTCGAACGAAATAGAAACCTTCAAAGGACGCAAGGACCAGAGATAGAATATCGAAATATTTTTACGTTCGTGCGCGCGCGTGAAAGAATCTCCTGATGAAAACCCATGATATTTCGCGGATCGGCAACGCATGGCGAGTGAAAAGAAACAACGGGTATGCAAATGTGCCTCGCCAATCGTGTTTAGTTAAAAATGTGCGTTGCATTAACAAAGTAGTTTAATTTACAACTTCGTCACGATCACGCAACGAAAGGATGCACACTACAGACATGAAAAATTGAACATGAACACAACGTGGATACGAGCTCCTATCGATCCGCGATATATATTGCAACATTAATTAACGCGTCTTCTCTTTCCCCGTTTCTCGATGTCTTCAACGTTTCCTCTATACTCCCATTTCCCGTTTTGTCCACCGGGATCATATTTATGCATCAAGCACGGCCACCGGCGCTTGTACCAATTACCATGAGGTTTACTCAATCTAACAAGAACACACGGTACGCGCGCGCGTACGTTTTAATTGCGCCATAAAGATCGAAACGTAAAGTAATCCTTTACGCCTGCCACGCTCGTTCATCGACAGTTTTAATTAGACTTAATCGACGAGCCCTTCCGCTCGACCGCCCCCACCCACCTCCTCTTCCCGCTTCCACCGTCTCTCTCTCGACTCGTATCAGCCTGCGTTCGTTTGTTTTTCGCGCGGTGGCGCGGTGTCCGTGAAAAGACCGGCAGAATAAAAAACTCATCCGGCGTCGTTAGCCGAAGTTCGGTCTTTGATCGCGCTCATTAGCCTCGACTAGCCGGTTTAATGCGCCAGCCCGCTTCCAAGTCCGCTCGATTTGCCTCGTTAAACGAGTAATTTAAAATGCATCGGAACGAGTAATTTAAAATCCTTCGTCGCCCCCGGTGCTCGCCTGTTCCCCCACCAATCCCTGTTCAACCCCTCGTCCCCTCGTCATTTTTCCATTTCCCGGTGCCTTTGCCTCTTTTCCCGAAGCAAAGTCGTCGCGACGAGAAAGTTTCACCACGAACGGACGAAGCGACGAGAAAGTTTCGGGACATCGGAACGACGAATTTTTGTCTATCTCTACGAATAAGAAAATATAACCGCGATCAGTTTCAATTTTGGCGACGATACGGCGGAATTTTCGGTCGAGCGCTGCAGCCACTACACCTACAAATGACTAACCTTGTCGATAATCTCAAGTATAAATTTTTCTACTGTTAGCCTCTTGTGCCACGCACGTCGCGAATTTTTTGTCCCGATTGAAGTTGCAATATTTTCTCAGTTTTAGGTATATTTACGTATAAGCCGGGCAAAACAAATAAGAAATTTATTCTACTTTTCAATCATTTTCATCCAGTGATATCGTGCCGACGAGTTCAAAAAGAAAGCGATGAATTATTGTGTACGGTTTGGTCGCTCGTTATGGTCCGCAATCAGTTGCCAGCGCAAGTTGGTTAACCACTTGCGCTTGAATGACGTGCCACAAACGTCGAGAATATTTTGTCCCAAAATTGCAATATTATTCTCAGTTTCAAGTATATTTAAGTATAATAAATAATATTTATAATATAGTATAAATATTTGTATTATAATCTTATAAATAAGCATAATAAATAATATTATAATAAAGATATAAAAATATAGTTAAATTATTAAATATTAAATAATTAATATAGTAGTATTATAATATAATAATATTATAGTTCAATAAATAATATATCAAGAATAGAAAATAAGTATACCCAGGCAAAACAAATAATAAATTTACTCTCAATAATTTCTGAATTAGAAAAGAAAACGACTAACTGTTGTGTACAATTTGGTCACTCGTTATGGTCCGCAATCAGTTGCCAGTGGTTAACCTCTTGCGCTTGAATGACGTGCCACACACGTCGAGAATATTTTGTCCCAAAATTGCAACATTTTCTCAGTTTTAGGTATATTTTAGTATATTTAAGTATACCCAGACAAAACAAATAATCAATTTATTACTTCTCAATAATTTCTATCCAGTGATATTGTACCGACGAGTTCAAAAAGAAAGCGACGAATTATTGTATACGATTTGGTCGCTCGTTACGGTCCGCAATCAGTTGCTGTCAATTTTTATCAGCGCTGTCAACTTTTATGTTCCAAGGAGTATTCGGCTCTCGGTTTCTTCTCGATCAAACTGTTGGCAGCCCGGCGGACAGCGCGCAATTCCAAGCAGAAACTCTCTTATATTCTACGTGAGCAATTTCGAGGGCAATTTGTCCGAGGGGGGAGAAACGAAAACGTCGACGACAGAAAGTGGCAATTAACTCTGTGCGAGATATTTCGCTTACTTTGCTAACCATGTCGCTATCGGGATACACGTTGGTCGTCATCGGCATCGGGTTTTTCGGCTCTTGGCCGTCCTGCAGCTCCTCGTTCTGCCGCCAGAAGTAGTCCACGTGCGGCACCTCGAACCGCGCCGCGATGCTCGCGACAATCCCGTAAGTGTACGGGCTCGATGGACCGAAGATTACCGTCACACCCTCCTCCAGAAGCTCGCAAGCTGCAACACGTTGAAGCGTGTTACATCGGCCAGTCGTCCGCGCAAATTGCATCTCGCAGAGTGCGGCCATCTTGGGATTGGCTGCGCCACCGAGGCCACCGCGTAAATTGTTATTTGAGGAAACCTCGGGACGAAGGGCAGCGGTCGGGCGGTGTTTCGATAAATTTTGATTAGATTCGATTCTACGGTTTCTGGGATTCCTGTATCGAATGTAGGGCTACGCTTTTTCGTTCTATCGGAGAGAGAGGAACACGTGTTCCCGATCCCTTCGACGACGAAGGAAATTCCCTGGGACTTCAGACGAAAGTTAATCGATATCCCGTCTTTCGACAGTCGTCGAGTTGGCGTAGAAGATACGACACTTGACGAACACGACGTCATCGAGACGTAATCTTATTACTCGTTCCGACTTGAAGGGGATGAAGAGAGAGAGAGAGAGAGAGAGAGAGAGAGAGAGAAAAGAAAATTAATTGTCATTCCGATAGTTTAAACATCGAGTTGCCATCCTCGAGGCAAAAGTGGCTCAATTATGCTTTATTATCGTTGCATCTTCGCGATCTGTTCGCCAGCTAATAGGATTTAAGGTGAAATTTTTCATATCGACGCGGGACTCGATCGAGTAAGTCGACGATACTCGTCGTCGCGTTTCCTTCGCAAATTAATCGGCGGGGTGAAACGATATAAATTTCTCGTCATCGATCGGTCGTATATACTCGCCATTTTAATTGGTTTAATTAGCAGCTTTGAACTTCCAATCCTCGACTGAACGAACTGATTTCACTTGGCGTTGAAAACGATCCGCGATGGCGGCAAACACGTTCCCATTTCATAAGTCTTACAATCGAAAATGAATAAGAGTAATAAAATCTAGGCTACTGAAACTCTAGATCTAGGATGCACATTCATCGTCGAAGTGAACCGATAAAGGAAGCTGCTAAAAATTTCTGAAGTTATAAAATTCTCCTTTTGGCTGTTATTAGAAAAAACGTGTTTGGCTGCAGTTCAATCTTTCTTCGTACAAATAAAATAGCGATAAAGCCTAAACTACTCATGAGTATTTCTCCAGATCTAGGATACACATTCGTTGTGTCAGAATAAATTGATGAATGAAGATGCTACAAATTTTTAAAACTCATTATAAAGTTCTTTTTCTGGCTGTCCCCAGAAAACTCATCTGGTTGCAGTTGAATTTCTTTTTTCTTCTAAATAAAATAATAATAAAATCTAAACTCACGAGTATCTCTCCAAATCTAGGACACGCATTTGCTGTCGTTCGTTAGAGTAAATCGATAAATGAAGCTGCTAAAAAATTTTAAAACTCATTACAAAGTTCCCTTTTCGGCTATCACCAGAAAAACGTATCTGATTGCAGTTCAATTTCTTTTGTTTTTTTTTTTTCGTACGCCTCTAAATAAAATAATAATAAAATCTAAAGTCACGAGTATTTCTCCAGATCTAGGACACGCATTTGCCGTCATTCGTCAGAGTGAATCGATAAATGAAGCTGCTAAACAATTTTAAAACTCATTACAAAGTTCCCTTTTTGGCTATCACCAGAAAAACGTATCTGGTTGCAGTTCAATTTCTTTTGTTTTTTTTTTCGTACGCTTCTAAATAAAATAATAATAAGATCTAAAGTCACGAGTATTTCTCCAGATCTAGGACACGCATTTGCCGTCATTCGTCAGAGTGAATCGATAAATGAAGCTGCTAAAAAATTTTAAAATTCATTACAAAGTTCCCTTTTCGGCTATCACCAGAAAAACGTATCTGATTGCAGTTCAATTTCTTTTGTTTTTTTTTTTCGTACGCCTCTAAATAAAATAATAATAAAATGTAAACTCACGAGTATCTCTCCAAATTTAGGACACGCATTTGCTGTTGTTCGTTAGAGTAAATCGATGAAAGAAACTGCTAAAAAATTTTAAAATTCATTACAAAGTTCCCTTTCTGGCTATCACCAGAAAATCGTATCTGGTTGCAGTTCAATTTCTTTTGTTTTTCTTTTTTCGTACGCCTCTAAATAAAATAATAATAAAATGTAAACTCACGAGTATCTCTCCAAATTTAGGACACGCATTTGCTGTTGTTCGTTAGAGTAAATCGATGAAAGAAACTGCTAAAAAATTTTAAAATTCATTACAAAGTTCCCTTTCTGGCTATCACCAGAAAATCGTATCTGGTTGCAGTTCAATTTCTTTTGTTTTTCTTTTTTCGTACGCCTCTAAATAAAATAATAATAAAATGTAAACTCACGAGTATCTCTCCAAATTTAGGACACGCATTTGCTGTTGTTCGTTAGAGTAAATCGATGAAAGAAGCTGCTAAAAAAAATTTTAAACTCATCAAAAAGTTCTTCTTCTCGCTATTTTGGCCAGAAAAACGCGTTTGGTGGCAATTTTAATCTTTTGGCTTTCGTACGCCTCTAAATAAAATAGACGTGGTGGTACGGGGGAAATTCTTATGAGCAGTAGCGTGTGCATGAATATATGTATATGTATGTGTATGTATATATATATATAGATGTTGGGTATTCATACGAACCAGCAGCGGCGGTCTTGAAGCTGTCGGTATTAACCTCCACCTGCTTTATGATGGGCTGCAGCTCGAATGCGGGCGCGACGTGCTCGAATCTCGTCTTATACACGGCCGTTCGGAACGCAGCCATGTGCTCTTCGTCGCCTGCATGAAAGATTGCGCCTGACAACAACAGAAAACGTGACGTATTATCCTCGGTCGTCTTATCGGTGCCATTACCTCGCTGATTCTAAAGTTTCCTCCGAACGTTCTTGGCTTTGATCAATCCTTACGGATCCATTCCCATGGAAATGGCTCTTGCAACGATTGATTAGTAACTCCATAAAGGAACTAAGGGAATAATCTCCGAATATCTGAATTTCCGTTTGATATTTCCCATCAAATGGCATACGGATTCATTGCGAGCTCGAGTTTTCAGTCGGCCGGTGGCTCGTTGGCATTTTCACAAAGTGAAAATCTTATCGCGCTCTCAGAGAGGAAACGAAGCGTAGATTTTGGTTTCGTTTCCAATTATAAAAAAAAAAAACGTTTTTTATAGAAATTAACGTTTCCTCTAACAGACAGTTGGAGCTCCTTCTCGGCGAATGTATATTTTTATAACTGGTCGAGACTGAAGGAGAGTAGCGGAGTAAAACGAAGTTAGCTGGAAGATGGAATTCCATTATGGTCGTATCGTAATTCCGCGCCTCGGCAATCGGGTTTCTAGTCTCGCGCCGGCACACCGGGCGTCTGACGATTACGAAGTTTTGAAGTAGGTGACGTCGAAAACAATTCAATCAAGAGCAATCGGCTCTGGACCGGGTTGATCAATACGAAGTCGAAGAACAATCGAGCCGATTGTTCCCCGAATATTAATATTCCGCAGGAATGGTGGCATCAATGTCCGAAGTTTCGATCCGAAGTTCGTACAGAAGAAAGCAGAACAACATCTCCGATTAATAAAAATAAAATCGATGAATTATCATCTTGCCTCCTAGAGATCGACGAAAGTTGAGCAACTTTTCAAATGGGCTCCGGTTGAAACGTGAATCGCGCAACTTTCTCGAGGAATGTTCTCAAAAATGAAAGTTTTCAGACAGAACGTAGAACGTGGCGGAGGATAATTTGTTCGTCGTTGTTAAAAAAAAAATAGAAAACACCGACATTGAGTACTATTCAATGAATAGTGCTCGAACGTAAAAGTGAAATTTGAATGTTCTGAAATAACTCGTTTCCGTGGAACTTTTGTTCAAATATCTGTTCAAAAGTATTTCTAATTGTAAATTACACTCCTTTCGTATTCTTTTTTACATGAAATGTACAAATTCAAAGGAGAATTAAAAAAAAAAAAAAAAAATGAAAAATACCTGTTAATTTCTGCTTGTTTCTAAAATCGCTTGTTTTTTGACTAGAAAACGCTACGATCATTTTTCCCTCGATAAAATCTCCTGAGAGACTCGCGATCGATTACGTTTTCAATGGGAAACAAGCAAACAGCAAGATCGAAACCAGCAGGTACGATTTAACACGAATTAGCAGTAGATCCCAGGCTGGATAGAATCAAACTTTCGTTTCTTTTATTGGCGTTCGATCGCACGTCGTTGAATTTCCACCGGAAGAAAGCGATTTCACTGGCGAGAAAATTGTCCAATCTCGGTCGGAGCTTCTGCCTTCCGTCGCGTTCTCGGCCAATCTTTCGGCCGGTACGCTCGAGCGAGTTCGAAAGTCGTCGTCTGCCTCGTCGTTGGTTGAAACAACGTGTTACGAACGCTCGCGAGGGGAAAGTCGATCGTCTCTCCTCCCCTCGCCGATGTTTCGTCGAATGGAAATTCGCCCTCGGGACGCCACGAAACGATCCGGCGTTTCACGCTGTCGGAATTTAATTAGAAACGTCGACATCCGGTTAGTTAGACGAGAGGGAGCACATTTGCCTGACAACTGCAACTCGCTGTCGTCGAACGTAAATGCAAGCAGTTCGATTTTTCCCTGCTCTCGTTCTCTCTCTAGTTTGATTTAAATTACGCGAAGAAAGTCTTTGCGACGCGTAAGAAAATTAAAGTCGCCGTATTTTCCACGGCAGAGGCATTCGCGCGAGATTACGACGTTCAAAAGAGACGATGATTTTTCGAAATTTATCTACAATTTTTTTCTTTCATTACCTAAGAATTTTTTCAATTTACCCTGTTTTAATTTTTGGCGCAAATGTCCAACACTTTCACACGTTCGCAAGATTTTCTTCTTTTTCTTTTCATGCGCGGTTTAGGTTAGATTTAGGTTAGGTTCATTAGGTATACGACGTTTCAAAAAGAACGAATTTTTCGAAATTTACTCACAATTTTTTTTTCATTAACTAAGAATTTTTTCAATTTACCCTATTTTAAATTTTCGCGCAAATGCCCAACACTTTCACACGTTCGCAAGATTTCTCTCTTTTTGTTTTTCGCGCGCAGTTTAGGTTAAGTTCATTAGGTTTACGACGTTTCAAAAGGGACGATAATTTTTCGAAATTAACCTACAATTTTTTTCTTTCATTATCCCAGAATTTTTTTAATTTATCCTGTTTTAATTTATGGCACAAATGTCCAACACTTTCACACGTTCAGAAGATTTTCCTCTTTTTTTTTTTCATACGCAGTTTAGGTTAGGTTTATTAGGTTGACGACGTTTCAAAATTTTTCGAAATTTATCTACAATTTTTTTTTTCATTACCTAAAAATTTTCTCAATTTACCTATTTTAATTTTTGACCAACATAAATGTCCAACTTTCAACACGTTCGGAAGATTTTTCTTTTTTCTTCTCGCGCGCGGTTTAGGTTAGGTTTACGATGTTTCAAAAGGGACGATAATTTTTCGAAATTTACCTACAATTTTTTTCTTTCATTACCTAAGAATTTTCTCAATTTACCCTATTTCAAATTTTCGCGCAAATGTCCAGCACTTTCACACGTTCGCAAGATTTTTCTCTCTTTTTTTCCTTTCTCGTGCGGTTCCATGCAAATCCATCGACAACAAGACAGCGTGCCATCATCATCACGCACACTCGAAGTCTATAGCGGCGTTAATAACGAACCGGACGTTTAATGCATATTTTGCCATGCTAATTACACATTTGACACGTTGCTCGATTGTTACGCACACGTTCTCATGATGCCATGCTGTGTATGTGGCCTAAACGTTCCGTATAGGCTCGGCAAACGGAGGGGAGATCTCGACATCGGTCATGAAGATAATTTCAATCATTCAGCCAACACGGGATTATGCGGCGAACCCATCAGCCAGTGGTCAAACCTGACTGACTGGCAGTCCGCTGCATGTCGCGTTTCATATCGATACTTAGGCACTGGCTGCGTAATCTCCGGCTAACCGTGGTGATTCGACGCCCTATGCTGGGATTACGGCTGACAATAATGGCACCCGATTGTCATGAAATCAATAAGCGAACGCTTGTTGCCCGCCCGTTCCCCGGGATAGTTCAACACTATCTCCCTGTTACCAGAAGAATCGTTAAGGCCTGATTCCCATCGCGCTGGATACCCCACCGTGGCAGAGAGGGTGGCTCCGAAGAAAAGTCAGTCGAGATCGAGGATACTTGGGCCGGGTAATACGGCCATTTATATGCGGCAAATAATCCGGTTGGAATTCGTAAAAAATTCGCAACGATCGATGGGCCGGTGAAACGGCGATAAATTGCAATGAAAATGATTTTCGGTTATCAGCCAATCCATTTTACGTGAAAATGTGTTGGATAATGGTGGAGGATGATCTCTATGATCGGTCGATCTTTATGTCGTGCGTTACGTGGTCCCGGGCAACGTCTTGATGCAATCTCGCGCTTCTTTTCTTCCTCGCCGCTCCAACTTATCGCCACGCTCTCGTTTAACATGCATGGGAATTTCGTTGGATGAACGTTGATGTTCAAAAACGCGGGGTGACGTGTTTGTTGTTTCGTTTTTGGCGATGCCACGGTAGCTGGGCGACAATCTCGGTGGTTTCCTGGTAAGATTAAAGCCGTTGCAAGAAGCATGACGAACTGAGAAAGGCCCTGGCCACGATCTATCTCGATCTTTGCGCCCCTGAGTTACTTACGTTCGAACAAGGACGTCGAATCACTCGCCACGTTGAAAATTGGTGAAAAGTGATGATGCTTCTGCGTTTAATCAACTGCTTTAACGTGTTAAACATCCTTGCTCTCTCAATCCTGATCTAGTTTTTTCTAGTATTTTTTTTTTCGACACTCTTTAACCCCCTAGCATACGATCTACAGTGAAACCTATTACTATACTGATTGTGAGAACGACGAAATTTTTTTCAGAAAGTACAAAGTGAAATAATCAAGACACTAGATCGCACTACACCGAGCCAAAATTATTTATTTATTCGTGTTATTGAATCGTTAGTGCACGCACTAAATATTGAACAGCGACATTAAATTTCATTTCATGATATATCTAATGATCTAGCAAAGTACGATAGAATTCGAAACACGGGTCAATACGTATTCCTACGTCACGTTTCTTGCATCCGTAATGCGTCTCCCTTCTTCCGTTATATTTCCTACAGATTTGTGCGTTTCTCTGATTAATTTGTTCCATTTTAAGGTTTGGTTAAGTTAATATTTAATATAAATATATTATTTTCATATATTATAATATTTAATATAAATATATTATTTTCATATATTATAATATTTAATATAGATATATAAATATTTAATATAAATATATTATTTTCATATATTATAATATTTACTATAAATATATTATTTTCATATATTATAATATTTAATATAAATATATTATTTTCATATATTATAATATTTATAATAATAATAATAATAATAATAATATTTTATTTTAATATAAATATATCATTTTCATATATTATAATATTTATAATAACAGAATGTTTTATTATTATTATTATTGAATTAGAATTTAGTTACGTCTGACCCAATTTTTTTGTTGTTGCAATTATTATTAATAACATTTGCCTGTAGGCGTCAACAGTAGCCAAAGGGTAAATGTTTACTGGATCAAGACTCAGGAGCACCTGTGTCAAGAGACGGTCGCTAACCCGCGGGTCTGTTACGCTCACTGTCCTCTATCGATCGTTCTATCGATGCTTTAATTTCACCCTGTATCTAGATGACCTACGGCAGAGCAATCAAACGGCCCTGTACTTT